AGCTTACTCTATGAGACACTAATATTTTTCTATATGGCATGAAATCTATAGGTATAGTAATACACCCATAGGAATGCGCAAATAAATATCTCATGTACCACTGTGTGCAAGACATAATAGTGGCACTTGGAGAGGGAACCATCGCTGTCATTCTGTTGATCAGATATAGTAGCCTACTTGGAGACAGATGGTGGCGTGCAGCCAGTCAGTTAGCAACACAGCTTTAAACAGTTAAGATAACAGAAGTCAGGAACTTCTGTTTATTTGACAAGTTATTCGCACAGATAATCAGTATAATCTCACTGCTCTTAATTGTGTGCTCTGGTTCTTAAAACATAGCTGCTATTTCAGACGAGGTTGCCTGTAACAAGAGATTTAATGTTTGATTTTTAAAGAATTCAAGTGGGATTAATGCTTGGCTAATGTGACCTCACTTGACTCTTTTTACCAAGGTGTAAAATTTGAAAATCGGTATGTATCTGTGATATGCAGAGAACCTCATCATGTATAAATGTTTATAATGTTTTTAAGTAAATAAATGAAATCATCTTGAAGAAATTCATTTTCAGCGGAAAAGTATGTCAAAAAAAGGTTAAAGCCTGAAACCCATAGTAATCTCTAAGACAGTTTATTCATTAGTGACCTTCTGAAAATCCTTGATGAAAGGATTCTTTTTATTCATTTCTCCCTATTATTTTCTGATAGAATAGTTTACAAGCCAAAATGTGTCAATTCTGTGGGCTGGCCCTGTGGCTGACTGGTTAAGTTCTTGCGGTTTCGCTGGTTCGGATCCTGGCGTGGACATGGCACTGTTCATCAGGCCATGCTGAGGCTGCGTCCCACATGCCACAACTAGAGGCACTCACAACCAGAATATACAACTATGTACCGGGGGGCTTTGGGGAGGAGGAGAAGAAGAAGAAAAGGAAGATTGGCAACAGATGTTAGCTCAGATGTCAATCTTTAAAAAAACAAAAACCAAAAAAATTGTCACTTCTGTTTAAATTATACTGTAACTACCATTAGAACAAAATATTGATGAAGATTTCTCTGCAGTTGTCAGTGGTCTACAGTGGTTGGCATCTAATGGTCTATTATAAGTCGCTATCTGCTCCAGCAAAATTCCTGTAACACACAAAAAAAGGAAGATTGTTTCGAGTTGTTATAGAATCTGACCTGTAATTAGAGGAGGATAAAAAGGACCTGAATAATTCAGTTTGGAATGATTGCCTCTCCCTGACTGTCCTGTAGGATGGGGTCACTAACACAAAAGCAGGGTTTATCATCATCGGTCAGCTAACACTTGTCTCTTTCTCCTTGTTTTTAGCCCGAGCCTCCTACAACAAACAAATGGCAGCTGGACAACTGGCTGACCAAGGTCAGCCAGCCCGCGGCGCCCCCAGAGGCCCCGGGGGGCACAGAGCCCCCGCCGCGCCACCTCGACGGTAAGGGCCAGGGCGGCGAGGGCGGCGGCCTCGCCGGTCGCGAGCACTCGGACTCCAAAGATCCGCCCCCTAAGAGCTCCAGCAGAGCCCCCCGGGTGCCTTCCGAAGGCCCCCACGCGGGCAAGAGGAGCTCTCAGAAGTCCCCTGCCCACCAGGAGCCCCCGCAGAGGCAAACTGTTGGAACCAAACAACCCAAAAAGGCGGGCAAGGCCTCCGGCCCGGCGGAGCCGCGGGCCGGCCTGCAGGTGGAGAGCGAGCCGGGCGCCCCTCCGCGCGGCCCCGCCGAACAGCCCGCCAAGGACAAGCCCAGGGTGAAGACGAAAGGGCGGCCCCGCGCCGCCGACGCCGGGGAGCCCCCCGAGCCCGCCGAGCCCAGGCCCGCGGTGCCCGCCGCCGGCGAGCGGAGGAAGCACAGGAGCGGCCCCGCGGGCCCCCCGAAGGCGCCGTCGGGCCCCGAGCCCCCGAAGGACCGCGTGGAGGCCAGGAGCCCCGAGCACTTTGCCCTCGTGCCCCTGGCGCAGAGCCAGGGCCCCCCCCGCGGCGGCGGCAGGACTAGTGGCTGTCGCCGCGCCGTGGTGGTCCAGGAGGAGCGCCGGAAGGACAAGGACAAGCTCCCGGTGCCTCTGCGGGACACCAGGCTGCTCTCCCCACTCAGGGACACTCCTGCCCCGCAGAGCCTGGTGGTGAAGATCACCCTGGAGCTCCTCTCTCGGGTGCCGCCGCCGCCGGGGAAGGGGAGCCGCCCGAAGAAGCCAGAAGACAGACAGGCGCCGCCAGAGAAGAAGCTCGATGCCGAGAGGAGAAGCTCGGACAACTCGAGCAAGCTGGCCAAAAAGAGAAAGGTGAGCTGAGGGCCCACCGCCCTCTGCAGTCTGGGATATCCCTGCCGCGGCCTGGGGCTGCCCTGTGGCCCTTGATTCTCCCCCGGAGCTGTCTCAGTGAGGCTGGGAGGTGAGGGTTCCCCCCCTACCGGGCTTACTCTCCTGGGGCCTCTGCGGCCAGGCGGGAGCAGATGCCCGAGCCTTCAGCAGGCCTGCTAGTTTGAAGAAACATGAGGCTGGCCTTGAAGAGGGTATCTTGTTTTAGAATAATGTAGCCTTTGTGGGGATAATCTTAATGCTGATACTACATCCACATTTCAACACGTGACCATCTAACACTGCGTTAATTTGAAACCACCAGATTTAGAATTCGTGACCTCCATTAATGACTTTTCCTAATAAGCAGAAAATTATAAAAGAAGTTTCAGAGCTGTTAACAGTATGGTTAGGACATCTTTTTGAGTAATATAGGCGGGTATGGTACATTATGTAGTATTGAAAATTTGTCATTTTCTTTATCACAGTGTTTGGAAGTTTCACTTAAGGAGTGCACGTAGTTAAGAATGAAAAAATCCTCACATTATTTCAGGCACTCGGTTACTTGGATATAACACTGTCTTGGAGTCTCCTTCCTTCCTTTCGTCTGAATCACTGAGCTCTTGATGTATTTTTTTGTTGTTTATTGATGATGAAAGATGAGTGAGTTTTTCCCGGTGGCATTCCCGAGCCAACCTGCCCAGGATTCAGAGTGAAAAGCACAAGAAGGGCCAGCTCCGCCCTGCTGAGAAGGAATAAAAACTTTAACACCCTTGTTCACTACACAGCAAAACTTTTACGCAGGTGGAAGTTGAGCTAAGAGTACCAAGGACAAAAAGATCGCAAAGCCTGCTGTCGTGTCTGTGATTCGACTGATTACTCCACTAGGTTAAAAATATAACATGACTTTACCGAATATGAAGGGCGACTGTTTTCTCCAGAACCTTGTCAAATGAGACATAACGGTGTGTGTTGCCACCATAATTGTGGTGGGATCAAGAGCTAATTGGTGGTGCTGTTTCTGCTAGAAGAGGGCATATTCTCACACCAAATAACTTTTAAAACGGGGTGTGTGTGTGTGTGTGAGTGTGAGAGAGAGAGAGAGATGTAGAACTTTATGGAAGAAATTGTGATGGACCTGGCTAGGGAAAAGGTGCCCCGAAAACTTCAAAAATCCACGCAGTTGCCTCTTCCTGGGAAATCTTTTATCCCCTATCCCCCAGCCACCATCGTCTTGTCTAGTCTCCACTGCTAACCTCCTGCATTAACTGGAGTGGGGAGAAGTACTAGCTTCTAGAATGCTCACTAACCAGGTGGAAATGTTAGAAATCGGAGGCTTCTCCAGACGGTTCTCAGCCCAATCCATTCTGCAGTGCGAAGCATTGCTTGCAGTTCCAAAAAGGGAAAGTCAGCTCTCCCTGTTGAGTACATGAACTGTGCCCTCTAAAAGCCATTCCCAGCCTTGGCTGCGCTCCACTAGGGCAGCTCATTTATCTCTCTGTTTAGAGATGGAGAAATAATGACCCCCTCATCTCAGTCAAGTGTGTGCTTGCTCTAAAGCTCTGGCAAGCAGCTGAGAGATCTTGCCTTGGCAACAGTCAGCTTCTCTGCTGTGGTACTGACAGGATTGGAGCCTGAACCAGTGGTTCCAAACCCTGGCTGCACATTACGGTCACCTGGGGAGCCCTTAGTACTGGTGGCAGGATGTGTACCACCCCCCACTCCCCATCCCCTCATTGGCGTTCTCTAAATCCTCAGGTAATCCTGATATGTAGGGGGCTGGGAACCACTGGAGCAGAGTCTTCCTACCAGGCCAGGATGGGATAAAAGCTAGTGCTTTGGATCGAGAAATTTCTCCAGTGTAATGTGTTTAGACATCATGGGTCTAGGCAACCAGGAATTCCTTGCCTGAAGTATGTCACTAGTTAGAAACATGACTTAGAAGCTTCCGGATAAATATAAAAATCAGCTGCCGGTATACTTATTTCATGATCAGAGAATCATGTGTCATTTGGTTTTACTTCCTGCTGCATTCCAGGTATTGTCAATATTGAACATATTCTTCTCAGATCCCTGTCTGCTCAGAGCGGGCTTCTCTCCCCTCTCCTGTCAGGACCCTGACTCATTTGCTCAGGGAATCATGGTTGTTCCCTTCTGATGAGCACAGCTGCTCCGTGGGCAGCCCAGCACATGGGCCTGGGCCCCACGGCAGAGGCAGGGCTGTCATCTTTTTAGGCTTGGGTGCTTTTCCCCAAATTTGGATAGTGAAAACTCGTTCACTTTCTTCATTTTAAGTGTGTACACTAGAAAAAGCTCTCTGAGGTTGTAGGAAGAGCAGCTGAAGAATGTGCCTGATCCTTCACATTAGTGGAATTTAGTGTTTTTATTTAGAGGTCCGTCTCTCTCCTGGCACAAAATTACTAAAGATTATCAGAAGGTTCACAGACCCTTGAAGCCATTTTAGACTTAAATGTGTGAGATTATCATAAAGAGTTAATGGTGGGTAAGAGCTGTGATGAAGCCGTCAAATGTGGCACCTGTAGCAATGTACCCATAGATCTATAGTTTCTTACTACCTTAGAGGAGTGGGTAGGGGGCAGTTTTTGAGGAGAAATAGAGAAAATTGTGAGGGTAGATAGGCATGAACTCACATTGTGCTCCTTACATAAACTACACAATTTCTTGAACCTGATTACAGTTTAGAATTTAAAATACAATTTATATTTTTTGTATGATTTTTAAACCGAGCTTATATTGTCCAGATTTAGAAGAAAAATTGAAGTTGAGAAGCACAATATAATATACAATCAGGCCAGTGCAATTGAGAATATTCTAAAAACACAGCAAACATCATAGAGTTCCATGTGTGAGCTAAGCATTGTTGTAGGCACTTTACAGATATCTCATTTAGTTTAATCACCTTAAAGATCACCTTTTAAATAAAATGCTAGACTGTCTTAACAGTCATTTAGACAAGAATGGGAGGTCACATTCATTCAAGTCTTTTCCTTTCTCTGAATAATTGCTTTACTGACCAAGAAGCTTAGACACTTTTGCAAACAAATTTCAGTGCCATCATTTCCGTGTGTCTTGAGGAATAGGGAAGGGAAGTTATGAGATGGGGTGGGACGCGTGCCTTGTTCTTGCTCGAGGATGCTTGGTTCAGCCCTTCCCTTCCATCCGAGGTCTGACTGTCTTTTCTTGAGGTGTTTCTCCAGTTCAACGTTCCCAGTTATTATCCTTCAAAATCAAGGGTTTGAAAAGTTATCGGTTATAATTTTCTAAAGCCACTTTACATCTAATTTCTTCATGCCTGTCAGTTACCCTAAGAAGAGTACTGCAAGCATATGCATGTGGTAGCTAAGGTTGTTTTAAGGCCATTCTAATGCCTGTGTATTCCCTCACCAAAAAGAAGAAGGGAAGTCAATTAATTTTCCTATTCTGTTGTACTTACCCAGTGAGTATAATCTGTTTTCTCGAGCCAGCCCTGATGGTGTAGTGGTTAAGTCAGGCATGCTCTGCTTTGGCGGCCCAGGCACGGAACCACACCACTGGTCTGTTGGTAGTTGTGGTGTGGTGGCGGCTCACATAGAAGAACCAGAAAAACTTAAAACTGTACACAGCTGTGTACTGGAGCTTGGGGGTGGGGAGAGAAAGAAAACAAGGAAGAAGATTGGCAACAGATGTTATCTTATGGCCAATCTTCCTCTGGGGGGAAAATCTGTCTTCTCAGTAAGCCCTGCCCTTGTTCTTGGTGCTGGCTTGGACTTGGTGTCTGCTGTGTCCTTGTCTCATTGAACCTCCTGCAGAGACAAATCCCAGGAAAGTACCTGAATTTCCTGAAAGGCTGCTTCTCCTCTTTTCCTTAGCCCCCTGTGCTGCTGAGCTCATGTGCCTCCCTGTGGGAGAAGATGATAGAGCTATAGAATGTGAGTGCTGAGACCTTCGGCTCGCTTGTTCAGCTGTTCCTTTTATAGCTGAGATCCCGAAAGGCGCTGACATCCCTTGGCTGCTTAGCAAAAGTGGGTGTGGTGTTCAGGTAGGCTGACTGCCCCCAGGCCAATGATCTTTCTTTTTCACACTTTTTTTTTTTTTTTTTTTTTTTTTACACAAAAGCATCTGTTGGGGGAGTTCTTGGAGAGAGGCACAAGGTCATAATGACTCTGGCAGTTAGACTGTCAGCCCTGGCTCAGTCCCTCCACTGACCACCCCCCACTTGAGGTTCCCTTTCCGATGCCGCTTGTTCTCCCCATCACAGCCCAGCTCCTGGTAGATGCTCTCTCTACACCTGTTAGAAACTCTATGGCCCCACATGAGTGTCAGTTCTGAAAAACCCGCCTTCATTTCCACCTGCTGCCTGTAGGCGCTATGTTGGTGAGCCAGGTGCTGGGCGGGCACCAGGCTGCCCTGGAGGCGGTCTCTTCCAGAAAGGACTTGGCCTAGCACGGTCCGTTTCTTCCTTTTATGGTCTGCATTCTCGCCCTTTTGCTCCAGTCTGTAGGTGGAGCAGCATTTGGCAGATAATCCGAGGCTGCCTGACCTAACAGGTTAAGAAAAGCAAACAAGTCGGTTAGGACCAGGTGTCCGCTAGCAGCTTTCTCCTGTTGTGGCCGCAGGCGCTACTGAGACACTTCTCCTTCTGGGAAAAGGGAACTTGTGAATCTCGGACCTTAGACAGGATTCCCGGAAATGGGGGTTCTCTGTGGATAAGCCACAGGGTAGAGGAGGCCCTCTTTCCTCCTGAAGAGAGAGTTCATCACTCTCATCTCATTTTCAAATGGCTTCGTGACCCAGAAAAATCTCAAGAACTGCTTGCCCCCTGTTTTCCAGTCTTGGAATTCAAGTCTGTGTTTCCTGCCGCCCAGGACTTTCCCGAGCCCTTTCCTGAAACCGTCCAGTTAGAGTTGTAGTGCTGTCCTGCTTCCGGGGACCTCAGCTGCTAACCTTCGTTTCCGTGCCAGTTGACACATGCTTACTGAGTGCCCGCTCTGGGGAAGCCTCTGCGACTGTTCCAGACAGAAGATGACAGGGTTCCAAGGGCATAGCGTACACACACGCTAGCCTCAGCCCACAGGCTTGAACTCGGTCCAGCAAGCACGATCCACAGAAGGGGATTTTTGCTTTATTTGGTTTAATGGCTTACTTTCTAGCTTACAGAATATTACCAGCTCCTAAGTTGTTATCTGTCTATTTAAAAGCATATGATTCCAGTAAGTGCCAACGCAGTTGTTAAACGCCGGTGTTGGAGTTGGTGTTGGGTGATTTCTTGTTTTTTGGCTGTTGTCTTGAGTCACCAATTGGCACAGGCTGGAGTTATAACCAGTTCGTGAGGATTGACTCACTATGAATCTTATGTGGTTTATAAGGTCTGCCTCTTTGGTATGTAGTCATAACTAGCACATCCTAAGCAGCGTGACGATATACAAACAAAAATTAACTCTCATTCCACCTGTGGGGTTTGGTGTTTTCTTTAGGAAGTAACCTTGTTTTGGGGACTTATCCTATGTGTCATTAACTGCCTGGAAATACCTTCCATTTTAAAAGAATGTATTACTAACTACTTCATATACAAGGTAATATCTGTCTGGATATTTTAGGAAATTCTGTGACTTTTCCCAAAGATAAATTTTGCATCTTCCTGCAGTGCTTGCTGGGCCAGTTGTGCGGCCTTTAAAGCTCCAGAGGATTCACTGGGCCGATAGTGGCAGAGCCTCTTGGGCACAGTAGGTTTAGTGATGAGGACGCCCACCTTAGTAGGGTTCTGTTTTAACCCAGTCATCTCCAGTTGATTCTTTTTCCTCTGCCAATACTGAGTCTCTCCCAGGTGTTTCCATGACGAGTTGTTGAATGGAGGGCTGTGTGCTGTGCAGAGCCCCAGCAGGCCTCTCCTGACGTGTGCTAGTGCCTGTCATCTCCCTTGAATTGTGCCCCAGGACTCTGCTGCTCGTCCGTGCTGTGTGGAAGATGGGAAGCAGCTGTGAGAAATTCCCTGCTGCGTTTCAGTCGAGCCTTTAGGATGTGCTTGTTGATGTCACGGGTTGTCTCCTCCTTAGGTCCTCAAGATACTTTTTGTAATGAATGGTTCTGTTTCTGAGCAGCTGATCTGTTTCTATCTTATCTAACTTGTAGATTTTACAATTCCTTCTTTGCGTTGGCTAATTGAAGTTCAGTGTCCAATTGGCAGATCACCTCTAAGAAAGTGTGTAGAACAACGATGTTGAGTAGAAATACAATGTGGGCCACATACGTAAGTTTAAGTTTTGTAGCCACATTAAAAAATGTAAAAAGGAAAAAAACCCAATATAACTAACAATTGTATTTAGTAGATGTAAAGTGTTACCACATCAACATTTAATCAATATAGGAATTCTTATATTTCCCTTTTTGCACTGGGTCTTTGAAGTCCCGTGTCTTTGGGCTGCTGTGCCCCGTGCCCCTGGATGCGCGGCTCTGGGTGGGAGTGTGCAGACTGCAGACCTGGCCACCAGCAGCTATACAGCTTCCCTTGGATGTAATTTCTCTTCTCCACCCACATTTTCCCTTCTTAATATTCACACTTGTGGGCACACCAAGAGATTAAAAACAAGGATCTTTATAAGCCACCTTGAATGATCCATCTTGAAACAAGAAATAGAATGTTTTTCCGAAGGAGTTTGAAGGCCTGAGTGGCTGGCACACGCAGGCACGCTTGTTTGCAGGATGCTGGGAGTAGTGAGGGCGTGTTTGTCTGTTTCCCCTTCTCTGGAGCAAGGCCAGGCTCCTTATTAGCATCTGGGCAGAGCTTGAGCCTCCACATCTTAATTTATTCATTTTTCTTGGCGAAATTCAGGGAATGAGGGAGAGACTGTGGTGAAAACCAGGGCAGTTCGTTTGAAGAATGTTTTTTTCTTTTAAGGCTTTGAGAGAGGATTTCAGGTTTTTGAAGGATTGTCCTAGATTGACTGGTGGTGTCCTGGATTTCTGTCTCGTGAACTGACAGTTGGGGGAGTTCCGTTCTAAAAGCACATCGGAATTAATGTAAGGCTCCCACCCATCACTTCACTGTCACTTGCTGGAGAGTTAGTGGCTCCTCCTTCCCATGGTGTCGTTGAGTGAGCCCAGACCAGTGGGAAGGTGGCCACCTTGAAGTCGTTGAGTCTACATGTTAGGCTTTTTGTAAACCTGGTATACATGTCTATATGTCGTAAAGGAAAAACTCAAATCTTTCCTTCCGACGTAGGGAAAAACCCAGTTCTTTCCTATTGCTTCCCTCCTGTGGGTCTCCTTTCTGACTCACACACAGCACTTCACTTCTGGTCACTGAATGTGACCAGGTTTTCCCCCACACCAACAAGCAATTCTCAGACACCAGCAGAGTGTCCAAGAATTCAATTCTATTCCGGCACTTTCTATCCGGAGATAGGGTCAGATCGCACCCCCATCTCCCTTTCAGATGCCAGCTGCAAGCTCAGGTTGTCACCTGTGCTTCGGAGCAACCAGCTGTAGATCAGAGTTCCAATGACCCCCTCCTGAGTTCCATTAATTTGCTAGAGTGGCTCACAGAACTCAGGAAAACAGTTTATTTGCTGTTTACCAGTTTATTGTAAAAGTATATGATAAACAATACAGATGAACAGCCAGATAAGAGATATGTAGGGCGAGTTCCGGGAGGGTCCCAAGTGAAGGAGCTTCTGTCCTGGTGGAGTTGGGATGCGTCATCCTCCTGGTGTGGATGTGTTCATCCACCGAAGCTCTGCCAATGCTCTGGTATTGGGATTTTTATGGAGGCTTCCTCACATAGGCATGACCAATGATTAACTCCATTTCCAGCCCCTCTCCCCTCTCTGGAGGATGGAGGGTAGGGCTGAAACTTCCAAGCTTCTACTCATGGCTTGATTTTCCTGCTGTCCAGCCCCCATCCGGGAGCCCACCCAGGGTCACCTCATTAGAGCAAAAGATGCTTCTAGTGCTCTTATCAGTTAGGAATTTACAGGGGATTTAGGAGGTCTGAGTTGGGAACTGGGGTCAAAGACCAACTATTAGAACAAGAGATTCTCCTAGTGTTCTTATCACTTAGGAAACTACAAAGGTTTTAGGAGCTCTGTGCCAAGGAACCAGAGGCAGAGACCAATGTATCTGTTTTCTCTCATCTCACACGTTGATAAGTGAGCACAAGAACGTGAACATGTTCTCTTAATGATTACATATGTTTATCTCACACTTCAGTTGGTATAAACAGGTGCTTTTGAGGTATGTAACTCCTGTAGAATTGAACATCCTTTCTTCTCATCACCCTTCTTGGACTAAAATCATGTTTACAATCCTTCGTTTTCTGTCAAATTTTTTGAAAAATAAAAACATATGTCTCCATTTATGTAGAGAGAAGTATAAAGACTATTTTTTTTTTTTAAGAAAGAAAGAAAATTGTATCAATGGAAGAGGGAAAAAAAATTAGCCAGACTCTCAAAGCAACTATTCTTATTTTGTTGTCTTTCTAGTCCTGTCTGTAAGATATATGGAAAGAGGATTTTGTAGCCTATTTCTTTTTTTTTTTGAAATTTATATATTTATTTATTTTTTTGGTTAATGTTA